TAAGTCTAATTTACTGGAGTGGGTTAAGAATTGGATCAACCCAACCCAACCCAACCCAACCCATTAACAACCCTATATATAACCCGTTAATCATCGTTTGTATTTATTTCCCTTATTACAGTATTAGATGTAAACGACTTTTAGGAGCGAAGCTCATATTAGGTAGGTGATCGACATAGCCGTTACGTAATTGTTACTGCGCCGCATCGTTCACCTCCTTCCACGTGCTTCCGGGATCACGCTTCACGGCTCACACTATATGTCAGAATTGTCAACTGGTCAACTGGTCAACCTCCATTTAACGATAAACCTTTTGAAATTGAACATAATTAGTGGGCTACGTCCCGAATTTGCTCCGGGAACACCTAATTGTTATATAGAACTTGCAAACCAATGTATGGATAATAATCCAGAAAAACGACCAACAGAAGCTAATATTTATGAAAAATTACAAGATTGGGAGATAATACTTGATAAAAGTTCCAAAGAACTAAATGAAAAAAAAACTTGAATTTAAAAATGAATTTTTAGAAGCAGATAAAATTAAAGCTAAGCTTTTAACATTATTAAAAAATTTGCGTCATCAAAACACAAAATATACATCTCAACTTACAGGTAAATTTAACTGTATTTATAAGCTATAATTAAAAGTAAAAATGATTAATAATTTTCAAATTAATAGGATCAATAAAAAAAACCTTTATATTGATTCATAAAGTGGTAAGTTATCTTTACTATTTTATTGACTAATAAAGTTTAAATTTTATTAATGTAAGTGATCGAAAATAGGATTTGATTGATGATAATAGATAGTAAGGTATTTTTATAAAGTTTGTTTAAGCTTATTAGCCGTTTTTTTATTTAAATTAATAACTAGATAATTATTATTATGCTTTATATTTTATCACACTAATCAATTTTATGGCATTTATTATACGCACATCCATTTAACCATAAATTTTTGCAGGAAAACTTTCCTGCAAAAATTTATCCAATAACCACACATATTTACCCCATTAAAGTCGTATATATAAATGATTCAATCGAATCATGAGAATGTGTTGGATGTCCATTCAGAATTTATCAAATATCAAAATATCGGAATTCTAAATTGTCAATAAAAACTTTAACACGGTAGTTATAAATGATACGTACTGTAGGAGTTATTTAACTAAACTAAAAAGAAAATAAAGGTGATATAAGCTAAAAGCACTTTGTGAGTACTCTTGTCGATAATAACATTACGCATAGACGTATATTATGATTTATGTGAGTTGTACTAGCAAAAGCAAATTTTTATTAAAAATTTGCGGACCAAATTGTCTGCAAAATGAAGTAAAGGGATAAGGAAGTTTCCATTTTTTATTATAATACCACTTTTAAGGCTTTGCCAAAAGATTCTTGTAAAATTTTGGTATTTTTTTTTTATTTTATTTCAACACCCAGCATTAATTATACATTCATAATATTACAAGTCAAAACTTGTGAATGATCTAGAACTAAAAATATTGTAGATAATGTATGATAAATTAACTAGATATAGCAAATAAAATTTCAATTGAATTGTAACTATTATTATTACAGATAAAGTTGTTAATTTAAAGATATAATAAATTGTTATTTATAAAAAATATAAAAATTTTTAGAATATCTGATTATTTCAAAAGCATTCCCGTGTATTAAAAACCTTTTTATAATCATGAAGATACCAAATGCTCACACTTATCAATATAGGGATCCATGAAGCAAAGAATGGTACAAAAGATTTATAATTAAGTGGCTCGTATTTACTTGATCGAATTGGAAAAAATGGAGCCACAGCAATAAAAGCTGTGCATAATAAATAAATCCAAACGAAGATTTTCCATACTTTAAAATGCTGGTATTGAGCGCCTTTATGATATTTCTTCAATTTCTAATTTGAAATTAGGTAAGTATATGAGGTAACTAATTAAATAGCTTAAACATAAATAATTAATTCAACATACCAATAAACAGACGGCTCCGACACCATAGAATAATATAGCTGAATACAATGACATTTCAGCAAAAAAAACGAAAAAGCTTTGGCCTACCGCAATGAAAAGAATTAAAGCTGCGCAATAACAGAATTGTAAAAGTAAAGCATAAAATGGGGTATTAAATGTTTGGTTCCAATAAAATAACTTGTCGGATATTTTTGGTATAAACCCATATTTAGCAGCGTATGTTATAGCTCGAGAACCCCTATTTAAAAGATAAATCATTAAACAATGTAATAAAACATTTTATCAAATTGTATAATGTAAAATTTTAATAATCTTACATAAAAACCATTGAACTCACACAGCCGAAAGCAGAAAATGAGATTAACATTGACATAAATATTCTTCCTGAGTCACCCCATAATGTGCGTCCAAAATTGATAGCGATAACATCATAAGAATTTATGGCATCATGAGGTGATACCACCAATATAAAAGCAGTATTAATCATTAAATCTGTAGTAAACAAACAAATGTAATGTAGTATAAATACAGATAAAACAATAATGAATCAAATAAATTAGATATATAAAAAATATATTTATAACTTACAAAGTATAGAAGAAACGATTACACTTAGAAAACCTGAGAATTTCAGGTTTACATTTGGAGATTTTAACTCCTCAGTTAAGTCTAAAAAGGTATTCATAGTTAATCAAATTTAATCTTATTTTTTTAAATAGTCATAATATGATGAATTGTCTTACAATTTACATTATTCCACCCTTTTATATGCAATAATGTGATGTCTAATTAGTAACGATTTATTGATAATACAATGGCTACCGGTATTCTTCCGACAAATAAGCACACTTTTTGTGTACATCATGCTGAACAAATTGGTCAGAGAAGATATTTTCTGTAGTGCTTATCTTCAGAAGAATATAGAAAATTCTCAAAAACTATCTTAACACACCTTCATATGTAAATAGGATCTATGTTTGAATTTCAGGTAAGTTTTTTAAGTAAAAAAAAATTAAAGATATTATATATTATACAGTACCAATACTATAGAATTTCCATGACTTCCAATATGTTCTATAATAGACGGCTCATATGCTTCATCTGATGGAGTATTATTAAAAGTCAATTGATTTTTGGCATTTGCAAAGCCATATATTGAAACGAAAAGTATGGCAATAGACTTAAATATGGCAAACATCCTATTAATTATGATAGCCCATCGATTGGATAACATATGATACAAAGTGATAACAAATAAAATTGCAATGGCTAAAAGCCGTAATGGTCTAATGATAATGCAAAATAAGGTTAAAATATGCAGTAAAGTAATTTAGAACTGAAAAACACAACGTACATAGAATCTAAATATATATCCTCATTTTCGTAATTCCCTTTAACTGCGTAAAGAAAGTATTTGGCGCACGCATAGGAGTCGGCTATAATTGCGCCAGGAAGGATAATTCTTTTAAAAGTTTGGCATATTATTATTACGTGATTATTATAGAATTTATTTAAGGCCACATCCAAGTTTAAAATCCAGGTAGGTTAGTCATAGCAGAAAAAAGTTGCAGTCTCAAGATTACCGGCTATTTCCAACCCAATTTGAAAAGGTAAAATTGGACGTAACATGACTAATAATTAAAATGTTTACGTGTCACATGATGTTACAGTATAACTTTTCAGACTCACACAGGTAAAATAATACCCTACTGCTGCAAGATTTCGCTTCAAAAGAGGCCAATTGGGGATAGGTCTAGGTCGAAATTCCGAAAATCAAAATTCTTGAAATTTATTATCATGTCGTGTGTTATCTGAGATCCAATTTTAAAGTTTAAACTCTGCTTATGATTAGTAATAATGATTAATAATAATAATAAACGAGTTTGAACATTGGGACTCCAGCATCACATGACGTGATGATTAAGTTTCAAGATTTTTGATTTTCTGGATTCCGTCCCCCTTTTGGAACCAAAATCTGGATATCATTTCACATGTGTCGAAATGGTCGGTGATTGAGATACCGCGACATTTTTCTGTTATGGCTAATCTATCTATAAAATTCCGATACATCAACATTACAATAATTATATAGTATAATATGCTTTGATTATTTTGGTTATCAGGATTACTTGAATCTTACGGTATAATAAATCTTTTATAATAACTTAGCTCATTCTAGTTTAGAATTAACCGTAAAATACAGAAATAACATAATCCTTATAGAAGTCTCTCACTGATTCAATTTTTGAACCTTTGAGATTTCGGCTTTGAGTTTTTAAAAGTTTACATTGGATTTTTTGGATGGCCTTTGTTAAGGAATTAATTAATGTGTACATACGTAGTCAAAACAAAACTGAATATATGACCAGGTTTATTCTGGTCATTAAATGCCTCTTCGAGGTATTTTTGTTCCCCAGATCCTTTGGGGCATCTAGATCCTAACTATAATACCGAAAAAAAAATAAAACAAAAAATATTAAATAATATAGTGATAGAAACAGCATATGTGGTATTATTTTAATTAAATTTTATAATCAATGACCTCAACATAAATCGTGCTGCCAAGTAAGCTTATAAGTCCACCAGCAAGCCAAAACATTAAAGCAGTTCCAGGAGATTGTACTAGTCTCCATATTGTGCTGGGAATTATAAAAATTCCTTATAAAATGAAAAAAAAACAAAATAAGCTTAACTGCTTAAAATTAATATTATTAACTTTTGATCAAAATACCTGCTCCAATTATATGATTAATGTTAAATTCCAATCCTGAAATTCTGTTAATTATTTCCTTCCTTTCTTGTTCTCTTCCAGGCGGAATATCTGCTCCTAATTCTATGTTTTCTTGTGTACTATTATTTGTAAGCGTGTTATTATCTGTAACTGAAGCAGCTTCTATTCCTATTACACCATTTTCTTTGTTGTTATCGTCCATAATTGAAATGTTTTATACAATCAGTTATTTACAACTTTTTTTAAAAGATCAAAACTAATAAATTATTATATATTGAGTTTGAAACCTTTTACTATAAGAACTTCAAATATAAATGTTATACAGATATTTATATAGATGAATTTGTAAAAAAAAAACAAATGATAAAATTAACTCTGGCAAACAAGGTTATCGAACATTGCACATTCTTCATAAGGAAAAATCTATGGGTATAATCACTATGGAGTTTCTTATTATATTCCGTATTGCACAATGCACAATGCAGCATGTAAATAATAATTAGGTTTGCACAAATGAAAAGTTTTGTGTTAGATTCCGTGGAAGCTTGTTTGATTGGCTGATATAAATCGATTGCACGGGTAATTTACTTATATGTTATATACAATACTGTTTTAAGAACACGTTTCACTAATGTTCACTATGTTAAAAATATCTAATATAATCTTAGAATTGACGTACTTTGCGTAGAAGACCAATATATTTTCGTCTATTTGACCGTACAAAGACATATTGTAGAGTAATGTTCTTTGCTTAAACTGTTTTATTACGTTAAAATTCAAATAAACTTTTTATTGCTAACAGTTGGTTTGAAAAGATAAGGTTTAATGTTTATATTTGATCGGTTCTTGTAGTTAGTTTATTTATTGTGTAAGTTTTTTGATAAATGAATGTTTATTAATAATAAATATCACATTTACCCTTAAATATATGTGATAAAATATTTGTATATATTTATTAGTTAGCAAATTTTTTTATACATATTAAGTTTTTTTTTTCGTTTCTAATAATAGTATAAAGCCGGTAATTTAACTGGTTAATTATCACGGGTAATCATGGTATATCGATATCTGTAAAAATTAGCTAATCAGACGAACTTCTGTCTATGAGTCAAGGTTTTAGTAATTGTTTGAATTTTTTCAAAAATTTAGGTAACTTCATCACTTGTGTATGTTTTCAAATGTTAAGGATTAGTGGAATTTGAAATTGCCCTAACTACCACAAATGGTTAGATCATACCCAAGATATCTATTAAAAATTTATACTGTAGCAACGATATTAATGGAACCCACACTGCAATGAGCCAAAAATTTTAATTTTGTAATTTTATATTTAATTTTGTAATTTTATAAAAATTAGAAGCTTTTTGCTCTAATTCTTAAAGAAATTGAGTTTTGAAAAAAATTTTTTTTTATCTCATTGCACCCTTATGCTGTGGGGGTAAAACTTGTTAATATATATCGAGGTATCTTTTTTTTTTAATTTTGAGAACCTTATGCAATTATTAAAACTTTGATTTCTTTGCGACAAATACGAGTAAACATATGATGAAATATCACAGAATTTTTTCAAGCTTAATTTTTTGTATCCAACAAGTAATATCATTTGCTATATTAAAAATTTCTCAAAGAGCTCAAAACATTATTTAGAAGACAAATAGTTACCATATCATATATTACATTATAACAAATGTACAAATAAATAATTATGTTTCCCAAGTAAGCTGTAAAAAGTTTCAAAGCCCAGAAAACACTTAATACATACGGCAAAGTTACTTTTAATATTTTAAATTTTATTACAATCAGTGGGTGTGAAAATTATTAAGTAGGGCATTGGATATATAATTATACGTAAAATTGATGTTAAACACTTTTACTTAAACCAAATTGTCATGATAAAGTTATTAATACTGTATTTTGTTTCTTTTTAATGTAAATATTCAGGCTTCTGTCTGAATAACCATCACAGATGAATTGGGACTTGTGACCTTGTGATCTATTGTGATATTAAGGAATATACACATATCAGATATACGCTTTCAAGTACGTACGTACGTACATCGCAAAATCCATAAGCCCCTGAAGTGAAAGCTACATGTACAACGTTTCAGGTGCTTATGTGCACAACAGATGACATAATTATCGTTAGAATTAAGGTTGGGGCGTATACTTACATATTTGTCTTGTAAATAAACCTAATATGGAATAGTAGTGTCTAAACTGCCCCTCGATATAAGTAATTCTCGATACAAGAAACCTTCGATATAAGAAATTCTCGATACAAGAACATTCGATATAAGAAACTCTCGATATAAGAAAGATTTTACAAGTTAACTTGAGAATTCTATAATAAAAGCATTGAATATAAGAAAATCTTGACATGAGAAAGACTTTGATTTGCCCAGTAACTTTCTTATATCAAGAATCACTTTTACTATGTAAAAGAATCAAAAATGAAATTTTGCATATAAAACTAATTTAGTCTTTACCACTTACTTTAACCATATATTATTTGTGATACAGGGACAAATAAGTGAATTCTACATCTATGTGTCCCACTCAATATAGAATAAATTATAACACAGAAGACAATTCATATGCAAAGACAATTTCTTTTATTGTAGTCTCACGAAAATAACTATACCGATAAATCTTAACGTTAAATATATTTTGACCTATGTGCAGTCATTTTGAGCAGATGGCAACTTGGGCGCAAAAAAAAAAAATAAATAATAAAAGTGTAGCGGTAGTACTAGTACTTCGATGATACTATAAATATTTATTTCACAAAATGTAATACACGATATCGATATCAGATATGGATACGTAACGCTAAAATTTTTATATTGGTTACCTAATAAGGATAATGTGCTAATAAATCCTTTTACTTTATTTATTTATTTATTTATTTATCTTTATTTATTTTTTTTACTATTAAGCCATTTAATCTTTGAATCTTCAGATAAAATATTATATTGTTCAACTAACTGTAAAGTTATGGAAAATAATTCAGAAGATTGGCTCGAAAAAATTATATCTGCCGGATTTATAAACAATTATGAATATAATAAATTTACAGACAAGGTAAAAATTGGCGAGGGTGGCTTTGGAACGGTTTATAAATATGAGTGGAAAGACGCAGGGTTAACTGTTGCTCTTAAAAGCCTCAAACTTAATGTAAATTTAAACGAAGAGGTCGTTAAAGAATTTGTTAATGAGGTATTATTTATTACTTAAATGGGGAGCGCTTTTAGAATATATCATTAAATTTCTATATTTATTTTGTACAATAAAGCTCAAATTGTTACGAAAAGTTAGTAGTCATCCAAATATTATTGCTTTTTATGGAATTACAAAAGGTATGGAAATTTTTTTAGCTTAATGATACATTTCGAATAGCTGTGTTAATTATATTAAACTTCAATCATTAAAAACAGATCTTGATGGGAATTACAATATGGTTCTACAATTTGCTAGTGATGGAAATCTGCGAGAATATTTAAAAAATAATTTTATGAAATTGCAATGGATAAATAAATTAAATATTGCAAGAGAAATAGCGCAAAGTCTTATGTTTTTACATAGTCATGATATTATTCACCGTGACCTTGTAAGTATATATATTACATCTGATGCTTAGGATCAGGATACTAAAGTGGTTTTAATTTATACTATTTTATAGCATTCAAAAAATATTTTAATTCATCAAGGAATCATTAAGATTGCAGATTTTGGATTAGCAAAGCAGATAGATGAGACATCAGTGACTTCAAATTCAATTGTTCATGGGATGCCTGCATATATAGATCCTTCATGTATAGATGGACTTAAACGCACCAAAAAATCAGATATTTATAGTTTTGGTGTAATTCTTTGGGAAATTTCAAGTGGTAAACCGCCATTCCAATCCTTCACTTCAAGAGATGCTCTTATGATTCATATATTTGTTGGAAATAGAGAAAAGCCTATAGAAGACACACCGTCTCAATATGTTGATCTTTATACAAAGTGCTGGGATAAGGACCTTAATGTTCGCCCGGATGCAAAATCAGTTTTTGAAATTTTAAATAACATTCGAATTAATGATCTAGTTCTATCATCGTATCAGCAGGATTATCCAAAAACTTTGCCCTCAAATCAGCAAGATTATGCAAAAGTACATTCAGATTCACTTGAAATTACATCATCGTCACTTCATTTACCTGATTCAATTGATGATCAGAATTCTTCAAAACAAAATAATTCACTTGATAAAATTAATCCCAATGTTATTGATATTGTTGACCAACATCTATCAACAGTATCAACACAACTTGATACAATTGACATTAATGATAATATTAATAATCAAAAAAAAAAAGATTCAATTTCCTCAAGTGATGCAATTAACGCCGATAGCCAAAATAATACAACGCAATATAATGATGATGATACCCTCGAAAATAAAAGAAAAAAAGTATCTAGATACATTAATGAAGGAAGTTACTCAAAAGCATTAGAACTTTATGAAGAAATTCTCAAGAATGAACAACACAATGCTAAAGACCTGTATGCTGCTTCAAACTGGCGTCTTTCTAATAAATATTTGAATAATTCCAAAGAAATGAACGAATTAGTAACGATTCTTTGCAAAAACACAATATTGATCTCTTTAGATCTTTCACAATGTCGTTTTGGTTCTGCAGGAGGAAAAGCATTATCAGAAGCTCTTTACAACAATACCACCTTGAAATCACTAAATCTTTCGCGGAGTAGTTTTGATTCTGATGCGGCGAAAGCATTGGCAAAAACTCTTTGTAAAAACTCTACCTTAACTACTTTAAATCTCGCTAATTGTAAAATTGGATCCGAGGGAGGGATAGCATTGGCAGGGACTCTTCGTAAAAACACTACTTTAACATTCTTGGACCTATCTTTTAATGAAATTGGATCAGAAGGAGGAAAATCATTAGCGGAAGCAATCTGTAAAAACATCTCTCTTACTTTTCTGAATCTATCTGGTAATAATTTTGGTTCACAGGGTGCAAAAGCATTCGCAGAGACTATTCGCAAAAACACCAGATTGGCTTTTTTGAATCTTCAAAATAATCAAATTGACCTTGAAATTAAACAAGTATTAGAAAAAGCTCTTACTAAAAACATCAAATCCTTAACTTTATTAAAATGAAATAGAACTGTATAAAAATTTTTAATTATCAAAATCAATAAACTTATGAATGATAATTTGTTAAATAATTTAATAAACCATAATTTAAATATACAGTATATAAAGCATTTATTTAATTAAATTAACAAATATATAAGTTATATTAATGATTGTAGTTTACTAAATTAAGTATTAGTTGTATTGTATAAGTGTCGCTGAAAGAAAATCTAAGATTTGCAGATATTCTTTGGCATCATTTCTATATTGTTTAATGTATAGTATACAGTTAATATAATATTATCAAATTTGCTATTTGTATTCTTAATCAAAAATATTTTAACAACCTCTAAGCTAAATTAAATAAATCTTTTTTATTTGAATATTATAATTTATAGAATTCTAAAAAAAAGTTCATCAAATTTTACTTAGTGATTGTTATGATATTTTTAAAGTTTTAAAAAATTCAAACTATCTATTAAAATAAAAGGTATATCTAAATTTTTTTTCAATATTGAGCAAAGATATTTTGACAATTATTAAATCAAATTTAATAAACTTTTTTTTTATTTGAATTCTATAGTTTTATAGAATTTAAAGAAAAACATTTCATCAAATTTAACTTGATAATTGTTAAGATATCTGTATATAAAGTTTAAAAATTTTAAAATATCTATCAAATAAAAGTTATATTTAAATTGTTTTAAATATTTAATAAAGATATCTTAATAACTATTAAGTCAAATTTAATGAGTAATTTATTATTTAAATTTTATAGATTTATAAAATTCAAAAAGAAGTTTATTAAATTATATTTAGTAATTATCAAGATATTTTCATATATAGTTTAAAAAACATTCAAACTGTTTATCAAAATAGAAGTTGTATTTAAATTTTTTTAAATACTGTGCAAAGATATCTTGACAATCATCAAATTAAATTTGATAAATCTTTTTTCTTAAATTCTATTAAACTATTTCTTAAACTATAACAGATAAATTTGTCTATATTGATTTTTTTAAATTTAATTTTTGTAAAAAACTTTAACAATTGATTTTAGCAATATATTTCTTAAATAAAGAATATTTTTAAAACTTATTTTATAAATTTTATTAAGAAACTTTTTAAACTTTATTAAGAACATTTAAATTATTAAAATTTAAAGATTATATAACAATAAGGTTTACAATTAAAATATTTTTAAAATTTTATATATTTTTGAAATTAAAAAAAATTATTCTTAAAACAAATATTAATTTTTATATATAAATTACTAAATTTGTAATAATTAAATTGTAATCTTAAAGTTATAATAACTTAGTAAAGTGAATAAGTTATCAATTACTAAGAGATAGATTAGATGTTTAAAACCTATTAATGATAAAAATTTGAATAATTATCTATGTAATACTTGTATTATGATAATTGTTTTTAATAATTATGTTAAGATACCTATAATAATTATTATATTAACATAACTAGCAGATTATAAAATATTTGTATAATTTGTTATATAGAGAAATGCAAATTAGTATTAGGTAGTATAAACTCTAGACAAATTATTATAACTGTATAAATCTGTTGAAATTAAAAAATAAAAAGTTTATTTAGGAGATCTAAGCAAAAAGATAGTATAGATTTTTAATAATACTATTGTAAAGACTAGTCTTATAAAATGAATACTAAAATAAAGAAGCCAGACAGATAAGAACTTCTGAATAAAAGTTACTACCAACTAGGTTACCAGAATAGGCCAGATAAAAAAAATATCAAACTGATCTGATATACTAATAAATTGGTTATACTTTTTTTGTATTAGTTTCTTATAGAATGCATTATTAAAAAAGCATTAATAAAAATCAAAAAACCAAAAGATCACTTTAAAAAAAATTTTTTTGTAATCTTTAATATGTATAAACTAAAAAGTTATATTAAAAACTATAGATTTCAAATTAATATTTAAAAAGTTTATTATAGATTAATTAAAAAATTTTTTTATTAAAATTTTTTTTAAAATTATATATTTTTAGTTTATAAATAACTTAATTTTTTCTTATAATTTAAAAATAAATATTACAAAAAAGTAATTTTTATTTTTAAATATAATTATATAAATTTTATTTAAATATTTTAATATTTTAAAAAATAGATCAGAATTAAAAAAAAAATACAAAAAATACAAACAAATTTGTCTTTAATAATCTACAATTTAAGAAAAAGATTTAAATAAAAAAAATTTATTAAGTATAAAATATTGGTTATGCAATAATTAATATCATGAAATTTGTTTTGTTAGAGCAAATAATTGGCTAACATGTGCTATGTAGCAGCATGTTTTAACTAATTATTTGCCCCAATAAAACAAATTTTATGATATTTATTATCACATAATCCAATAACAATATTATCATACATTATGATCATAATTTATAAGTTGTAGTTAGCTAATTGAATATTAATTTGGGATTGTTATGCTTATATAATAACATACAAAAAATAATAAGAAGAAAAAATCTATGATTATAAAAGTTTGTATAATAAATTTAACTTAAAAGTTATTAAAATATCTTTGCTTAAATGTTAAAAATATATTTAAAGTTTTGATTTATAGAAGATATAATTAAAGTTTACATAATTTAATATATATTATGATTGAATATTATTAGTTAATATTATCAAAATATCATGTGATCAAAAAAATTTAATGATGATCCTTATTATTGAATAATTATTACATGAAAATAAAAATTTAACAGATAGTTTTTGGTATTATGTATTGTTATGTAATTTAGCCAATTAAATCATAAGTTTTAAAAAAACAAAAAATATAAAAAAAAAATCAAACCATAATGAATTTAAAATCAAAAAAACATATTGAAACTTTTTATTAAGTATATAAAATTATTCTGTTTATTTATTACAGTATTAACAGTTAACTAATAATGAACTAACTTCTAATATTATCTATATAAGCTTTTGTATAATCTTAAACCTAATATCTTATACAATTTTTCTAACTATAACTGTTATTTTAATATATGTTTTAAAGTTTTATATATTTCAAATTTAATATTCTTTATATTTGTCTAAAATTATATAAAAATATATAGTTAGTTTATATCATTATATATTTGTCTTAGACTTTTAAATATTTTTCTTATAAACATATAGCAAAAAAATAAATAACTAATAAATAAAACTTCTTATCTCTAATTCTATATAGGCAGTATATGAAAGAGACAATATAAGTATAATATTAATAGAAAAAAGAAACATCTTTCTAATTCAAGCTCTAAGTTTAAACAATATATACTCAAAAGCTTGATCTACAGAATGGAAACTCTACTTATTAGTTTGAACAAAAACTAAAAAAGGATTCTTTCTACTACTAATTAGCCTTAAGATAAAAAAAAAATCATAATCAAAAAAATGAAAGAAGATGTGCTCTTAATTAAAAAAATCTTAGAGCTCTTAAAGAAGACTACATCTTCTCTTATTTCTCTTTATTCTGTACTTCAGCCTACTCAACTTATTTGACTTTCTTTAAAGTCTATATGTAATAAAAAAAATAATATTTTTTGATATCTTTTTCACTGAGCTCTTTCTCTATATTATTATATTAAGTATATCAAACCATCAGAAACAGACAACTGTATTTGATATCCTAAAGAATTACAAACTCTCAAATATTTTGCTCTTGAATATCCTAGAAATATAATAATCTAGAAAGAGACATATAATTTTCTTAATATTAACAATAAAAAATCACTATTAATTACTTTAGAAAATGTTTTTCTGATTTCTAATATTGACTATATCAAACATTAACTACTATAACCTGATTACATATCAATTTAATCTATGAAATTTGATGTTGATACATTTCATTAAAATGAGAAAACTCCAATACTCCTCTAAGTTCACTTAGTATACTAATTAAAGCTCATATTTCAAGAAAATACATGTTTTAAAACACAACACACTAGATCATAAACCTAAAACTGTCAAACTAATCTGTAAATATCTAAAATGTATATAGACTGCTCACAATATTTTAATATAATAATATCTTAATAAAGAGCGCCACTTGCGCCCCTAGTTGCTTAAGCAACAGAGATACTCAAAAAAAAAAAAAAGAATAACTAATGCTCAAGCCCACGTTACCTTTGCTGGATCGTTGCTTTTAGCTTTTTTTTTGGCTTTTATTGCTCAACGTCTAAAACTGTAGTTCGGTGTTTCATAAATTATCTACTTATACAACTTTGCACGGGTTTCAACCGATATCACATTTCAAAAACAATACAAAAAATTTTTTTATGAATTGTGTAACGGATCTACAAATGATGTGACGGTTCCCCTTGTTGTCTTACTGGGGTAGCTCAGATTATGATATCATCATACTGGACTATAAAAAAGCTCTTTCTACCAAGTGAAAGAGCGAATAAGTTACTTGATCTGTATAGACAGGCGAGTTTATTTTTTTCTATTTTTTCACTCGCTGAATTATTAAATAATTGGTAGCGTTGGCGTGAGGACTTCGAGTCATGCGTTAATCAAGTCTTTGAGACAAGCTACGAAGCAGTGTTGAGACGCAAGACAATATCTTTGAGAATTTCTTACGTTTGAGACTTTGAGTCGACTTGGCACTTGCCCTACTGGACGTAAGACAATAATATCTTTGGAGAATTTCTTACGTTTGAGACTTCGAGTCGACCTTGTGGGATGCAAAGTCGGATAATATTTTTAAAGACAATCAAGAATATTACTAATTTCGAATTTTATTTTCAGGTTCCTGATTATGTTCGCGCTCGAGATTGGAAGAAAGAAAGGAAAGCTAAATCAGTCGATGGAACCTCGGTTCACTTTCACCAAGTTAGGATAGTTCAGTGATCGGGATCAATAATGGATCTTTCAACGTTAGTAGAAAGCCAAAGATATGGATTCACATGTTGTATTTCTTTATGATGCTAATACTGATTTATTATTTTCTTGCATCTAGAAAAGAAAATTAATGTGTTATATTGAAAGTTCAGAGGAAGATCATTCATCGGATCAAGACTACACGGACAAACCCAGGAGGTAAATAATTTATTTTTTGTTTTTTACTGTTTCACGCATGATTATAAATGTTCTGACTTTGTTTCGGAACCTATTAAGAAAAAAACAAGATCAAACCAGTCACGTAGAAAAGCAGGCGTGATGATATGAACAAAGACGATATTATTAATGAAACTTTAGTCTTTTAGAATATATCATTAAATTTCTATATTTATTTTATGCAATAAAGCTCGAAGAGTTAGTAGTCATCCAAATATTATTGCTTTTTATGGAATTACAAACGTATAGAATTTTTTTAGCTTAATACATTCGAATAGCAGTGTTAATTATATTAAGCTTCAATCATTACAATTTGCTAGTGATGGAAATCTGCGAGAATATTTAAAAAATAATTTTATGAAATTGCAATGGATAAATAAATTAAATATTGCAAGAGAAATTGCGCAAAGTCTTTTGTTTTTACATAGTCGCGATGTTATTCACTGAGACCTTGTAAGTATATATATTGCATCTGATGCTTAGGATCAGGATACTAAAGTGCTTTTAATTTGTGCTATTTTATAGCATATAAAAAATTTTTAGTTCAAGGAATTGTTAAGATTGCAGATTTTGGATTAGCAAAGCAGATAGACGAGACATCAATGACTTCAAATTCAATTGTCCATGGGATGCCAGCATGTATAGATCCTTCACGTCTAAATGAACTTAAGCGTGCCAAAAAATCTATTATTTACAGTTTTGGTGTAATTCTTTGTGAAATTTCAAATGGTAAACCCCTATTCCAATCTTTTACTTCAAGAGATGCTCTTATGATTCATATATTTGTTGGCAATAGAGAAAAGTCTATAGAAGGCACACCATCTCAATATGCTGAACTTTATACAAAGTGATGGGATAAGGACCTTGATGTTAGCCCGGATGTAAAATCAGTTTCTGAAATTTTAAATAAAATTCAAATTAATGATCTAGTTCTATCATCGTATCAGCAGGATTATCCAAAAACTTTGTCTTCAAATCAATAAGATTATGCAAAAGTACATTCAGATTCACTCGAAATTACATCATCGTCACTTCATTTACATAATACAATTTGATAAAATTAATCCCAACGTTGTTGATATTGTTGGCCGACATCCATCAACAGTATAAATACAACTTGATACAATTGATATTAATGATGATATTTAATGATCAAAAAAAAAAAAAATATTCAATTTCCTTAAGTGATGCAATTAACGCTGGTAGCCAAAATCATACAACGTACTATAATGATGATGATACCCTCGAAAATAAAAGAAAAAAGTATCTAGATAGTTTAATGAAGGAGGTTACTCAAACTTTATAACGACATTCTCAAGAACGAACAGCACAATGCTAAAGACCTGTATCCTGTTTCAAACTGGCGTCTTTCTAATAAATATCTGAATAATTCCAAGAAATGAACGAATTAATAACGATTCTTTGCAAAAAAAACACTATTGATCTCTAGATCTTTCACAATGTCATTTTGGATCTGCAGGAGGAAAAGCATTATCAGAAGCTCTTTACAATAATACCACCCTGAAATCACTAAATCTTTCGCGGGTTAGTTTTGATTCTGAGGCGGCGAAAGCATTGGCAAAAACTCTTTGTAAAAACTCTACCTTAACTACTTTAAATCTCGCCATTGTAAATTGAACTGAGGGATAGTATTGACAGAGACTCTTCGTAAAAACATTACTTTAACATTCTTGAATCTTTCTTTTAATGAAATTGGATCAGAAGGATGAAAAGCATTAGCGGAAGCAATCTGTAAAAACATCTCTCTTACTTTTTTGAACCTATTTAGTAATAATTTTTGTTCACTGGATGCAAAAACATTCGCAAAGGCTATTCGCAAAACACCCGATTGACTTTTTTGAATTTTCAAAATAATCAAATTGACCTTGAAATTAAACAAGTATTAGAAAAAGCTCTTACTAAAAACATCAAATCTCTAACTTTATTAAAATTGTATAAAAATTTTTAATTATAAAATCATCAATTATGAATGATAATTTTTAAATAATTTAATAAATCATAATTTAAATATATTGTAAAAAAGGGTCCTTGTCGAATAGTTTCATATCTTATTTTTCGTGAATTTTGACTTTGACATAGATGAATTTCTAAATACTGAAATATCTCAATAACCTAAGATTCAGATAGCAAAATAATGGCGCCAAAAATTGGCGGCCCTGCAATTTTCAAGACTATGAGCCTCGAAATCGGACCTGCGAGAGGCTTTTATCCAAAGATATAATTGATATTGCTGTATTGAATCTTAACATTTTCAATTACAAGCTCAGTTTTGTGTATACCATTTTTCGGTCTGATTTGGCTTGGAGATCACAGGCTGTCAAATTTTTGCGCCATCACTTTGCTACTTTACTATATCCTCCATAAGAAGAAATTTGTTAATCGGCTAGTGTAAATACATTGCCCGGGTAACTAATTCATACGTTTTAGAACAGTCATTCAAACATGGTTGTTTTTTAGTTAAAATTCTTATTATTATTGCACTTAATTTTTTTTGTTTTTTTTTTCCAAAATGCATTGGCAGTATGAGTATTGTAATTATAAAATTACAAAATTTTATGCATTAACTTAACATATTTTGCAAAGACATCTATATTTTTCTAACTTCAAACAAGTGCCAGTAGGTTTAAAAATAAAATCGAATAAGATCTTATTTAAGCATGCTTGCTTAGTAACGACCTTTTTGACATATGAACAGTGCTTCTTCCGACGCTTTAAGTCACGTATAGTTTTGAAAATCCAACTAATAAGACAAACTTCTCCCTAAGAACTATATTTTGTGCTTAAGTTTCTTATGATCATTGCCAATAAAATCACCAGATCACGTGTAACTAAAAAACATCAAGAAAACAGAAAAATCGTAAATAACACAAGATTTTACTATGCTAACAACAGCTTGACTTCTAAATAAAAGTTTTCAACACGAAATTTTAATCATATAGTATATTTAAATATAGAATATCAATCAAATTAAAGTCTGCGCTTAATTCAACAGGAGGAACCGTTAATGTTACATGAAGTGAGGGATTACGTACATCCGTCATACTTGAAGTTACATATAGATAACTCCAGTTTAACTGATCACACCGCGTGAACGACGGGGCATATTATATCCATAACATACATTTTAGAGTAAACTTAAAATAAATAATTTTATTATTGATTAGCTAATTAATTCCTGTTACAGATTTGAGGAATGGTAATTTAAACAAATTTTAGATACATAAAAAATTATTCATATTTATAGCTTGGAAAAAAATTATTAAAAATATTTGTTTAAATTCAATTTTTAATTTCACAATTTTATCTTTTTCAACATTTTTTATTAGAGAACTAAAGCATTGGTTTTTTTTGATCTTTTTGTGATTTGGTTGATTACACATTACATTACTCCGATTTAAGCGGACAAATATTTACAAAGATTCCCATTAATGTAATCGGACTAGGTCTTAGGCTCGGGCGTTGCTCCGAGGCTAGGTCTTAAGTGTTTTATTTTTTTTTATTAATTTATTTTTTTAATTTGTATTATTTTTTATTTTTTAATTTTTTTAATTTATTTATTTTTATTAATTGTTTTTTATTTTTTATATTTTTGCTTTTATTTTTTAGTTTAATTTTTTAATTTTTTTTTAATTTTTAG